CCAGGCTCAAGGTTGACCTAGCCTCCCATCCTTCCGAGGTGGGTAAAATGAGGACCCAGATTGTTGGGGGCAATAAGCTGACTCTGTAAACTCCTTAGAGAGGTAAAGCACTGTGAAGTGGTATGTAAGTCTAAGCGCTATTGCTATTGCTATCACAGACAGGCAGCCATAACTTAAGACATTTGCGACTTTTTCTAGAATGAATGATTTTGAAAGTGGTGGGAGTGTCATTCGGCTTATATAATAATTGCCAAGAGATTTAAATTAAGATTGTTGGAATACTGAATATTGATCTCAGCCTCTCTTGCACTTACATTAAGATAAATGACCACAAACAGCTGGAAAAAAGAAATCACAAAAAAGGCATAGTCAAAGCCTTGAATGTCAGTGCAATAATTTAAATGCCAATATTGAAATGTAGCAGACAGTAATGGGAAATCTTTAGCTTAGTTGTTAAAACTGCTTTTCTTCAGACACATCAAGAACTCAGACATTAAAGAACAGTAGGTGCTGCTAAGGGGTTTGCCAGAAGCTGCAAACCTCTTTAGTTTGGAGAGGGTCAGTCTTGGAGCCTTTGGGGTATCGCCTGTCCTAGCTCTGCCATTAAGAGACTTCTCAAGGGATGTTTCTTCAAACCTGGCAACTTTTGAGATGTGTGGACTTCAGCTGCCGGGAGCATTCTGGGAATTGAAGTCCACACATCTTAAAGTTGCCAAGTTTGAAGAATAGTGTTCTAGCAGAAGGCAAGTAAAGGTGCGACAGACTACTTCCATTTAACAAAACTAGGAAAACCTGAGTGGGTGACAGCGGGTTAGGAAGGAAAAGGAACAGAAAACAAGAGGGAAACGAACAGTGACGTGCGGTGCGGCTTATGGCTGGTGAGGCAAATAGAAAGAAAACGGCTTTTGCTCGCGAGACGCCGCTATGTCAGACATAGAAAGAAAGCGGTTTTTGCCCACCCCGCCATGTCCGACATAGAGGTGTCCCACTATGTTGGACATAGTGGCGAGGCGGGCAAAAGCTGCTTTCTTTCTTTTGCCCAGAGGCTGCAGCCCACCTGAGCTGCCCGCCTCTGGGCAAAAGAAAGAAAGTGCCAGCCTGCCAGCAGAAGCTGGTAAAAGACCCACCTCTGCTGGTGGGCTGCCCCGACAGAGAAAGAAAGCTGGCGGGCTGCCCTCCCTGCCTCTCCTACCCCCTTCCCTCTCTTCTCAAACAAACTCTCTCTCAAATTGAGAGTTTGTTTNTTCTACAGTGTTGTAGGTTTTTTTTCCCATTACACAGGAGACCAGTTCTGAAACAGCCTGGAGAAGGATATGTTTATAAAAGTATTCCAGGCTGAATGTTTCTATTTGTTACACAAGAACTTTGTTCACATTAACATAGTTAGTGTTCTGTGCTGCTTTCCAGAATCAAGTTTTCCAGGGACATCTTACAATACAGTAAAAGCACGTCATGAAACTTAAAAACTAAAATAATAATTGTAATGCCATTTATAAATGATAAAACTGTAATTAATGCCCTCTGGATACCTTAACCAATCCTGCTTTTAAAAGCATATTCAATTCTAGAAGAGAAGTTCTACATCAGAGAAAGGAGACTGACCCAGTGTGGATGAAAGGCTAGGCAGCTGATGGCTCCTACTCTCTGGCCCATGAATCCATCGTAATACTTGATATTGTTGATCAGCTCACCATGCCCATTGTAGATAGCAGTGAATTGATTCATAGAACCGCTGCAAAGTAAAACAGAACAATATTAACCTTCCAATAGCTAAGACTTAAGAGCAGACTTTTTCTACTCTGTTAATCTACCATGGATTCCAAGACATCTCATAGCAGCCAAGGGATTTTTTTTTAAACAAAACTCTTTGAATTTTCAACATGAACTCTTCCAAAAACAATCTTGGAGCAAAAGATGGAGTTGCTCAACAAAAGTCACAGGTATAGGAATAGAACGTGCAACTTCAGGATGGTCTGATTTGATAACTCAAGTAGGAAGCAAACTGATGAATTTGGATCTAGGGTGTTGGCTATTCTCAATAAAGAAAATGCTTCTTCAGTGAGTTGAACCACAATGAACAAAAGCCAAGGTGCTGAATTTAAGAAAATTTTTAAGAGAGAAAACACAGCTTCGCGAAGCAATATATTATTTATATCAAAAATAAAAATATATCATGGGCTGCAAAAAGGAGACGGTTATTAAATGGTAACAAAGAGATACATAAAACTCATAAAAAGCTGCCATCTACTGATTGTCCAGATGTTTGCAATTCAGATATGATATGCTTAATTAAGGAAAAGAAATTGAAGTGTCTTTAAGAATAAGATAATTATTTCCTTTAATTTCTGGAGGAACAAAAAGCTGCTTGGCTGAAAACCTTTAGATCTTACCATGCAAATAAGTTGGCTTGGGGGTGAATGTCCAAAGCAGTTAATCCTTTGACTATCTGGAGGACCTTTACGGATTCTGGCATTCTTGGATCAAAGAAACGGACATCTCCATTTACACTGCAGACAGAAGAAGCAACGGACTTTTAATAATTTGTTCCAACATGGAAAAGAGACTTTTTTGTATCTCAGAAACTTCTAATTAGCATCAAATTAAGCAAGTGCAGAGTTAATACTTAGTTTATCAACATTTCTCCTTTGCCTTCTTCATCCTCGTGAGCCTCTTTTTCAGGAAGTATCCATAAAACTCGGGATCAAAGCTCGTATAGAAAACAGCATGAACATATTTGATTCAGCTGATTTGTATATATGGAAATAATGCATAAGGTATGGGTCATTGCATTTTTTTATTTCTCCAACCATATGTAATGACCCTGGGAGACAGGAGGAAGACTCTCAACCTAGAGAACCACCATGCCAAAAGTATTTCAGACCACGGAAACAAAAGGGGGAGTGGGAAGTGTCTCAGAAGGGACCTTCCCTAGTTTCCCACAGAGTAAAAATAAAGAAGAGAAGAGATACTTTCAGATTTGCAAGACTTGTTAATGTAACCTTACTATAAGGACAGAACTAATAATCGTGATTGTGCTTCTTACCTGGACCACAGATAGTCCTCAACTTATGATCTATCTGAAAAGGGCACTTACAACCCAGGTTCAAAATTCCGACGGTCAGGCTATGGCCACATGTCAGTGGTGGGATATGACCAGTATGCCCCAGTATGGACGTACCGGTGCCTGTCGAGAGCACCAGGTACTGTTCCGGTACAGTGCTCCGGAGGGCCCACCCCCCCGCCTGCGCTCCTTACCTATTTGAGCTATTTGAGGCTTCCACACAAGGAGCATACAGCACCTGTGCAACGCTCTGCCGAGCAGCTGGAGCATCTCGGGCAGTAAGTACGTGTGCAAGCGTGCTGTGCATTTAAAACCACATCATTATGAGCCACAGTGGCACAGTGGTTAGCGTGCAGTACTGCAGGCTACTTCTGATGCCCGCCGGCTGCCTGCAATTTGGCAGTTCAAATCTCACCAGGCTCAAGGTTGACCTAGCCTCCCATCCTTCCGAGGTGGGTAAAATGAGGACCCAGATTGTTGGGGGCAATAAGCTGACTCTGTAAACTCCTTAGAGAGGTA